ATTAATTTAATTAATTATATAGATTAAATTAGCTTTAATAATTAAGTTTATTTAATTTAGCTAATTAAAAAGCTATTTAAATTAAAGAAGCTAGAAAGGGCTATTAAAGAAGGCTTATCTCTTAATATAAAAAAGGTAGCTTTCCTAACTATATTAATAGGCCTAAACTTAGCCTTATATAAAGAGTGGCTTAATAATATAATTATTAAGGCTAAATATATATATTATATCTTTCTAGTTATATAAAATCGATAGACTGGTTATAGTCTAAGACTATAAGAGTAAAGCTAGGATAAATAGAAGGTAATAGCAGGGTTAGATTAAAGATTTAAAGGAATTAGATTAACTTTTATATAAGTTAGTCAGTAAAAGTTAAGTTAACCTAAAGTTAATAATAACTTTACTAATTAAATATATATACCTAAATATATAATTAATTAACCTTATATTTAAGAACTGCAGTTAAAGTAATATTAGTAAAAAAGCAGTAATTTAAACTAAAGATATAATTAATAAAGCTGCTTTTTTTATATTAATATATAAGTCTTTTTTTTATAGCCTTTTTTTAGTTTTTTTAACTTAATTAGCTCTTTACTTAGCTAAATTAAATAAATTAAATAACTTAAATTAGTTAAATTTATATAATTAATTAAGTTAATTAAGGTATAGTTAGAAATAGCTATTTTAATTAGGCTAAATAGGCTTTTTAATAAAAAGTTCTTTATAATAGCTATAGTTATTATATAGATCTTATAGTAATTTAATTACTGCAATAAGGTTATAGTTAGTTATATAATAGCCTCAATTACGTTCTAGGCTTTTATAAATAGTAGGCATTATATTAGTAGCTATAATTAATATTAGTAATTATAACTAATAGATATAGGAAAAGTTAGGTCAGGGAACATACCTAAGTGTAATAGATTTAGCCTGGTATTATTTTATTCTTTTAGGTAGAGTAAAGCAAGAAGGTTAATATAGCTACTAAGGGGTAATAGACCTGCAGGCAGTATTAATACTATTTATTTAAGGCAGTAATTATACTATTAAGGTAAATAAACCTTATAAGATTTTAACCTTTAAGATTTAGGCCTACTATAGAGGCCTTATTATTTAAGCTTTTATATATAAACTTAAAAGCTTAATAGCCTTATAAGGCTAATAATAAAAGGAAATAAAAAAATTAAAAATAAAAGAAATAATATATTACTTAATAAAATAAAAAAGATAGTCTATAAAATATAATTAATAAATTACTATTATAAATATAAAAAATACCTTTTAAATTATTATTACTTAAAAAAAGTTTTAAATTAAAAAAAAAAACAAAAAGAAGCTATAGTTATAAGTAAAATAAATACTATAAAAGAAAGAAAGGCTATAAAAAGATAATATATTAAAATTTAAAACCTAAGGTAATTAAAATACTTTAAGAACTAAAAGAAATAAAACTAACTATAGGTAAATCTATTTTTATTTTACTTTATTTTCCTTAAAAACTATAAATTACCTTAATTTTTACTTTTAAACTTAATAATAATAAAATTAATTATAGACTTAATTTCCTATAAGGCTATCTTTTAATATAAGATTTTTCTTAAGGTAATTATAACTATAAAAAGTAAATCCCTAGTTTAAACCACTGCTTCTTTATTAATATCACTTCAACTGTTCTTAGATATAAGGTTAATTAGTTATATACCTAGGTATATATATTTAATTAGTAGAGCTAGTTATTATTAACTTTAGGTTAATTTAACTTTTGCCGACTAACTTATATAAAAGTTAACCTAATTCCTTTAATTCTAACTTTAATAGAACCTTTAGTCCTAGAACCCCGCTATTACCCCGCATTTATCCTTAA